AAATGACCTACCAGGGCCAATTCCACTGAATTCCACTAAACAATCTGCTGTATAATGCAGGTTAATTTGGCCTGTGTTAACTGCAAAAGCATTGTCTTTTGCAGCGGATTTTGATGTATATAATAAAGTACATGCATGTGTATGTGTTGGGTGTCTTTGTATTATATAAAGGTAATTTCATAAAATTGATGCATCTGAAATTAGACAGGAATACAGGGTTAAATTCCTGGCTCAGTAAATAACTTATCTGGTCTTGGGCAAGTCACTTAATGCACAAATAAAAGGGACTATAATGGTGCAAAGTAGTAGTACTCAGCTGTAATAATCATTTACCGGGACAAATTCAGTCCAGGAGACTCTGCAAATGGAAGATGGCGTAGACACTGAGTTGGGGCCTTGGCAGTTGTAAGTCCAGCAGACACACCTTCCCTTCTTTCAGGAGGCCTGTAAGCTGCCAGCGCTGCCCCAAAAGAGGGTGGCAGTGGCTGGGGAAAGGTCAATCCCCATCAGTGGAACTCCTGAAGCGATAACTGCTATATAAGTGCTTGCTGTAATGATGATTGTTTATTATGGTAGTGCCTAGGGACCATCCAAGAATGTGGTCCCCTTGTGCTAGGCAATGTACAAAACACAGAGTAGTAGACAGTCCCTTTCGCTAAGAGCTTTCAATATAAATAGATAGGATATACGTAGGAAGGGGAAAAGGGTGTAACACACAAGCAGTGTTAACAATGTGATGGTGGCAAAGATCACATTATGCTTTCCATTACAGTAGAACTGGCTGGGAAATTTTTGTTGGAATGATTTTTCTGATTGAAAATGCCTTTCTCTCAAAATCAAAACTTTCCATGGGAAAATTTAAATTTTGCCCCAAAATCTCATGATCAAAATGATGGCTCCCTAGCCGCCCCCTTAGAAGGCTCTTTCCAATTGACAGAGCTTTCTGGGGGGCTACCAAGACTGAGCTCCCTGACTCTGCCTCCCAGTGTTCCCCCAAGTTCCGAGACTGGACAATCAGCTGGTGGGGAGACTCAACCCCTCCCTCCCACTCCAGGGCTGTAGAGGCTAAGTATCCCGTCTCTCTGCCGGGCTGGCCCTGGAGCTGGGGAGAAGTGAAGAAGCTCAGTGGTTAGGCTTTATGCCTCTCCAGCAGCTGGGCAGGCAGGCAATAGGAAAGCTGAAAAATGTCAGTGTTTGCTGTTGGTTTCTTTAATGCTAAATGACCTCGTGAAGCGCCATGGTGAAGGAAGCTGCATGACCAACACTGCAAACAAACCTGGTAGCAGTTTTCTTCTTGCCATTGCTGCTGCTCGATGACTTTCGTATTCCACAAAAGCAAAGCCACGGTTTTTTGCTTTGTCTGCTGCACTGGGATACACAATGACATCAATGACCCCGTCTGTGACTTTCCTCATCTCTGCTAAAATTTCTTCTCTCTTCTTGTTTTTTGGGATTCCTCCTACAAACAAACGGCAGTTGTCTACACTGGCACAAACCCCTAGGAGTCGTCCATTCCTGCATACAAACAACAGTTCCAGTTTGTAATGAATCAGGCTCAGTTCTTTGAGAAACCACAAGCCTCATCTTTCCAAAAAACACAGTTTAAAACATATCAAACCAATCCATTTGAGCAGTGTACTCCATCCAACACTCAGTCAGCAATTTTGCCAGACAAAAAGGAATATATTCAGAATTGATTTTGAATGTTCACACACAGCAAATTTGAAGGTGAAATTGGAGCTGCAGGCAGGTATCAGTGTTTTGAGAATATATTGCTTGGAAATAATTTGAGACTTTGGGAGAAATAAATTTTAATCTTTAACTTCCTAGGTGTTTATTTCCACAGCCAGCCATTGAGGGTTGTTTTTACCCCAGAACTGTACCATTGATGAGCACAACAGTGAAGAATTGTGTTTAGCTAATATGATGCTGACTGTGATTTACAGTCATTATAGACCAGGACAAATCATGTTCACCAATGTGTCAGCTAACTGGGAAATCATAGTCAGCCTGTGGGTCAGCACAACTGGGGGCCTGGGGAAACACCTCTCTCTACCTCTCACTGTTCTCCAGCCTGCATGATTCAGGCCATAGGGAGTGCTAATCCCTGTTCTCTCTGGGTGCTTCCTGCTTCTCTCTGTGCTCCATGCAGAGCCCCAGGGAATGAAGACTCCTTCATTCATTCCCATTTTACCTCCTCTTGTCCCCAGCCCCTCTGGAGGGCTTTTGGAGAGTTACAGCTTCCTTCCCCATAAGCCTTAAAAGGCTCTTCTTTTCCTAGACAGCCTCCAAATTCCATCCCCAGCCAGCCTTAAATAATACATCAGAAAGTCCAATCCCTCATGGGCGTTAGCATGATGCCCCACTCATACTCTGTGAATTTAAGAAGGCTCCCTGCTCAGTCCACAACTCCCCACAAAGCTCAGGATGGGCTAGTCAGCAGCTCCTCCTGCCTCCCCAGGAGCCAAAAGAGGGTTGTCAGTAAAGCTGATCCAGAATTTTTTGACAAAACACATTTTTGTTAGAAAATGCAGATTTATCAAAATGGAAACTTTGCAGGAGAGGGTTGGTTTGGACAGATTGTTTCAACTAAAAATGTTGAAAAAAGTTTTGAAATTCTTAAAACATTTCATTTTCACACTTTAGCAATGAAAAGTTTGATTTTTTTAGTTTGAAATGGCAGTTTTAAAATTTAAGCTAATTAGGGATAGCTCAGTGGTTTGCGCATTAGCCTGTTAAACCCAAGGTTGTGAGTTCAATTCTTGAAGGGGCCATTTAGGGATCTGCGGCTTGGTCCTGCTTTGAGCAGGGGGTTGGACTAGATGACCTCCTGAGGTTCCTTCTGACTATGATATCTATAATTTTTAAAAACAAAATAAAAAATGTTTTGGAATGATCTAAAGACATTTCTATAGGTCTGAACCATTTTTAAACACTTCAGCAGGAAATTTCCAACTAACTAATTATAAGTGTATTTTCATGAATGGGAAACTGACTGATTGTACAAGGGAACAATGGATGGTGTGATTTTAAGGTTTAGATAACTACATAATCCTTTTGCAAGTCTCAGGAAAAATACACAATGTATAATAAAACAGAGTAATGCATCATTTGATTTCAACTTTATATGAACATACCACTCATGCTTACCTAATTTCATAGTTATTAAGTTGCTTGATTGCATTCTTAGCCTCCTGTTTATTAGAGAATGTTACAAAGGCATATCCCCTATTGTTTCCATTGAAGTCCATCATCATTCTCATTTCATAGATTTTACCAATCTGTAAATGAAAAGAAAAATCAATAACCCATTCTGAAAGGAAACTTTCACCAACAGCACAGAAGCTATTTACACAAAGCTGATTATTTCCCTGACTGTGTCTTGTGTGCATATCACCTCAGAGTTGTTTGAACATCTCCATCAATGTGACCATCAGCCAGAACCTATTTTACTTGAGAACTGTTTTCTGACCCATGAATGAAGTCAGAATAAATAAAGGCAACATATGTTTAAGGGACAGTTAGGGCTGAGTTAGCACTTCAGCTCTCTTTAGCAAGGTAAATGACCTCTGTTCACACCATCTGATAACACAGTACCAGAGTTCCAATGTGTGCCTCAGGAACCTTACTGTGCAGTTGTCACTGTAATGATTTCTTGCACTGATTTGCTCTTTGTTTTTAAATATTTAATTTCAGTCTGTGCTATGAAAGAAAAGGACTGGAGGCTCCAAAGTCACACAGCATCAGCCTGTTCTCAAAGTCAATATATGCACCTCACTTGACCAAACTTTCTTCTGTGCCACCGTTGGTGGGATGTTTCTCTTTCCATATAGAATTAAGGATGGCAGTGAAGACAGCAGTGCTGCAGGAGGATGAGGACAAACTTTTGGGAGCTTCCATATTTGGGAATGTGATTACCATTAGTGATAGGGAGGGCACGGTATGCCCTGATATAACCATTACTATCAAGTACCTAAGGTGTGCTAAGCACTTTACAAAAAATAAGACATGGAGTGAAATCCTGACCCCACTGAAGTCAATGCAAGTTTTACCACTGACTTCACTGGAGCCAGGATGTCACCTATGTTGTCCCTGCTTCAGGGAGCATACATTCTAATTTTGGAACTCATGCAACAAAGAGTAGAGATAAAAAAAAATGGGGGGGGGGGAGCAGAAGTGTTACAATAATGTAATTATGTGGTGACTTAGGTTAATCAAATGATTGTGTGGCTGGTACTACTTTCATGCTTTTAAACTGCTCCCTTCTTGTGCGTGAAAAAAATATGTGAGTGACTATCACACATACAATTACAGTGGCTGCATGTAGATATCAGTGAAGGCTGGGTATAACCTGTAGTGTTTCATGGTCCAGTTGGGGTCGTTAGACAGGATGGGGCACATTAAGGGCCCTACACACCTGCTAGGATCTGGAAGGAGTCATTGAAGGAGCATGCTGCTCCTCCCAAAATCAGGTGGAAGGAATGCTATAGCACGCTTTCTCTGCCCAGTGCTCCCGGAGGCATTCTGCTTGTATCAGCCCTGTGCAGATAGCATGCGTCAGAGCACCTCTGCTCAGCGCTTCTGCTCTATACCCCCACATTTCCGTAGCTCCAGACAAGTATAAGCATACAGCTTAGCCCTGTAATAGAAAGTGAGACTCAGAACAGATGTAGGTAACAGGAGCAAACTATACAAGTAGCCTCACCAAACACAGAAGTACGATGGGTTATACACCTAGCAATGTACACACACACAATAATAGTTGCTAATGTTTGTGTATTAGAATTATATGCATTTCAATTTTCCATTTGTTATTTCATGTTCCAGGTCTTTGAAAATGCAGCCTTCTTTCTGAACACAGTTTTATCAGGAACATGTGTATGGTACAAGAGGAGGAAATTCTCTTCAATGTAAAACATTACTTTTTCACATAATGGGATAAGTTCATCTTCAAAAAGGTCTCGGGGTAATTTCCCAATGAAAATCTCACAGCCCCTCTCCGGTGGCGGGGCATCCCAGCCAGGCGGTGGACCTCCGTACTTTCTTTGTCCATTTTCCTACATCAAAGAAAGGAAACGTATTTTAAAATATATGGAATCAACAGAAATCTCTCAAAATTGCCTTATTTGTTTCTATAACTCTCCATGGACTTATCTGCATAACAGTGCCTTTCTTTCTATTCTCCCCCCCTCCCCACTTGGCCTCTCTGCTCATCTAACACTGGCATCCTATCTGTCCCTTCATAGAATCCTGATTCAATAACATCCTTCTTTTCAGCTCTTGCCATCTGAAACAATGTCTTTGTGCAAATGTCCCTCATTAAGACATGATCCAATGCCCAATGAAGTCACTCAATATTTGCTAAAATGTTACCTATCTTTGTTTACTTAAAGTTGAACTATGTGGATAGACCCTAGTCAAATACTACCTTTCTGATGCTGTAGTGTTTAATATAACATGATGTTTTGTACAAGGATGCCAGCCTGCCATAGGCTAAAACATTGCCTGCCTAGCATCAATCTCCCTTTACAGAGTCAAAGTTTATAATTTACTAGTGTTTTATGCGCTTCAGAAAGCAACCAGGTGTCATAATCCAGCTCCAGTAAAGTTAATAAAAAAATCTCCCATCAACTTCAATAAGAACAAGATCAGCTCCTGTGTGCCTTCTACAGTGGCTAATGGCAGTTTCCTGATGTATTTGAGAGATGACCAGTTTGTAGAGAGTTTCTCTGAGGGTCACAAACAACATACGTTAGAGTACCGGAGAGATGAGTGTTTTGACTTCAGTTATTTGGAGCAACATTTTTTCAAATGTTTGAGTTGGCTTAAAAAGTCAATGTCCAACAGCTTTTCTAAATCTGATATGACAGGTGCACCCAGCAGATCATATGTTAGTTTTGGTTCTAACCTAGTAACACATTCAACAAAAGTACATGTTTTCAACAATCTGCCTACTGCTCAGAAACATTTATTAATTATTACATTTATACTGGATTTTGGTAGTTGGTGAGCTTCTTACGGTACAGAACAAAGAAGCAAGCTTACATATCTGCTCTTGGAAGAATTATGTTTCTAGGAGGTATTTGGAAGAAGAGAGGGTGGGACTTTTACTAAGCTACAGCAGTGTCCACACAATGAGTTACTGCATGACAAGCTGGTGCACAGTAGATTCACACCCTGGCTTGCTGTGTAGACAGCACTAATTCTCTAGTCATTTGCCCTCTGAAGTCATTCTAAGCCTAAACTATTTAATAAAGACAGAAACTGTTTCAAGCTCCTTACATAGTGAGAGAGCACAGCAAAGTGAAACTGATTAGGATCGTGAAGGGAAACTAATTAGGAATATAAGTGACAAGGGACCAAGAAGTCTCTTCCAGCCTATTGTCTATGGATTATCACTTGGACAGATGTAGTAGTAAATTATCCATTATCATTCTTACTGTAAACATTTTCAGCATAATGGGAGAGTCATAACAGTACTTTCATTCAGGAGTGAATTCCTGCAGTATCAAATTTTAAAACATTGAAGCTGGCAACGTTAAACACCATTTCCTGTCCCTGAAGATGTAATTCTGCTGAGTGATATATGAACTTCTATTGATTCATTTTGTATAGCCAAGGTGAGATAAATCTGTTCAGTTTTGTCACATTCTTAATTGTGATTATTATGTAGTGCATGCCTATGGATCCTGCAGGATCTATTCAAGAGAGGCTAAGTAAAAGGAATTTGAAAAAAACCCTGACCCAAAGTAGATTCAGATGAGAAAGGCTTGAGAAGATTTACCATGCCACTGCAAAACGAAGTACTGGAAAAACAAAACCTTTTCTTTTAATTAGGTCATTGTGTTAATGTATTTGTAAGTCAATGGGATGACTCAGCAGAGGGGAAAAAACCTATTTCAGTCAGCAAGGTCTTCACCTCATGGGTTGAAAGAAGGAAAAAGTACTCCGACCCAATTCTCAGCTCTCCACAGAGTAGGTGGAAGGAGGAAGAACTGTTTTCCTAAGTCCCCTTCCCTTTTTGCAGTTGAGTGAGTGAGCAGTGGGGAGAGTGAGGGTGGGATAAGAGGCAAGCTAAGAGAGCAGCTACGTGGATACTGTGGTGATGAGTTTAATATAAAACCCCAGAGAATGTGAGGAAAGGAACAGGTGAAAGGAGAAATAGGATAAACTCTGAAAATGGCAGGGTGGGACAAAGGGACAAAGAACCTGGGAAGCAAAGAGAAAAGTGTCAGAGGAAGAAGAGAAGAAGTAACTGAAAATGGAGGTAAATCAAATATTGAAAAATACAGATGAAGGTAAGAAAGAGAAAAGAAGACTGGGATAAAGAAACTAATGCAGAATATAAATACAGCAGATGTATTTATTTTTATCTCACTCTGTGTAAAGTATAGTAGATAACAATGTTAAAATGCAGCAAACCCAAATGCTTGCTTATCTATAGTGTGTGAACACAGCTTTATATGCTACGTAAACACACTGTATTTTTGTTATTTTAATTGTCTGCCCTGTAGTTTTGGTAGCTCCAGGTTCCTTTTAGACCAAAACTGCCTCTTTGGGCTGCTGTGCTGCCTACCATACTTCTGGCCCTAACAACTGAGGGACTAAGGATCTGAGCCTTAGTAAACTCCATAAAATTCACTCTCATTACCATTTGCAATTATATTCCCTTAGAATTTACCAGATTATTTCATAGTATTGCTAATTTTCTATTGCATTTAAAAATGAAATATGTTGAGGTCACATTTGTTTTGAGGAAGAGTCCAAAATTCAGTATACAGATGGATAATTTGCCTTTTGAAGGGCTCCCCTGCCTGCTATAAATTTTGTAAAAATAAACAAAGATGTCTCCAATTTTGAGACCTTCTCAAACAGACTTTAAACAAACATCTGATTATTAAGGCTGATAAATAATCTCTCTCCTATGTCAGAGAAATGAAATACTTAATATTTAGAGACTAAAAATGGTCCCAGGATGTCAAATTCAGACCTGGATCTAAACACTTTTAAAGTACAAAGGGTTTCTGAGTCAGGTGGACATAGCTACAGGGCTCTTGGTTGTGAAAAAGCTACACTTCCGAGTGCTGTAGCTAACCCCTGGTATAAATGCAACTAGACTGATGGAAGTCTGCTTCTGTTGACCTCACTATCATTGCTTCGGAAAGGGTGTTCCTATGATGATGGAAAAACCTCTTCAATTGCTGTGGGCTACAGGGTTAAGCCAGTATAGCTACAACACCTTGGCTATGCCACTATAGTCCCCACAGCGCGGACATTGCGATAGTGGATTTGCTTTGGTATCTTATAAAGATAAAGTGCAGCTGTGAAGTTCAGATTGCAATCCAAAACTTCCCTGAGATTCAGAGACATTCAGCTCTAGGTTTTTGGTTGGCTTATCATGACTGGCTACAGTGTAACAAAAAAATCAATGGAAGAATTCAGTCTTACTTATTAAAATAAAGCATCTTTCAGACATACACAACTGAGAGAAGGGAAGAGAACCAACAAAGAAGGAAAGTTTCCTTGTTAAATATTTACCACTCAAGCCCTTGACACAACTACTTAATTAAAGCTAAAATTAGATACTATGCAAAAAATAGCACTCAAGCACGTGATCACACATTCTTACCTGTATCAAACTATATCCTGTGCGCTGAATTAATGCACGGAGAGCAGCTTCTTTCTGTGTGCCGGTCAATCCATCCCCCGATTTTTGATTTGATTCCATTGTGAGTGATTATCAGCAAAAAATCAGGTTAATTAGGGGTGCTCGCTGCAATCAAATTTAAGATAAATTAAGTGAATTAATTTTTCTAGGAGGAGAAAGTCCATTTTACTGAGGATATTTACATGACTCATTCTCCCTAAATAAGTAAGTTGAGATAACTTTGTCAGAAAAACAACAGGACAAAAAGGAAAGTGACCTCCCCCTTTACATTTATGCAGAGAAGGGACAAGACTTTAGATCCAGCTCTAGCTTTTGAACAACCCATCACTGAGGCCTGGTCTACACTACGGGATTAATTCGGATTTAGCAGCGTTAATTCGAATTAACCCTTCACCCGTCCACACAACAGAGCCATTTAGTTCGAATTAAAGGGCGCTTTAAATCGATTTCTGTACTCCACCTCGACGAGCGGAGTAGCGCCAAAATCGATTTTGTTAATTCGAATTAGGGTTAGTGTGGCCGCACACCACCGAATTAATGTCATTAAAATAAATGGGGTAGTGTGGCCGCACACCACCGAATTAATGTAGTTAAAAACCGAATTAATGTGCTTAGTGTGGCCGCGCACAATCGAATTTATACAACCTGTTTCCCAAATTCGAATTATCTAAATTCGGATTAATCCCGTAGTGTAGACATACCCTGAGAGGTGTAAACATAGCATTTTGGGCCCCAACACGCTAAGTTGCTTTTGGTCGGTGGACCGTCACATCAACATTAAGCCCTATCAAAGCCAATGAGCCTCTGCACAGAGCTCATGCAGAGCAGTTTATGGGATCTGGACCATCTGACTTCAGATCTGTACCCCAGTTAAGATTTTGAACAAGCTTAGAGTGCAGGGATGTTTGGGTTCAGCATTTTAGCTCTGGGCCATCTCAAATTTTAAGAACAATTTTACAATTTAGCAAGGGTTATTTTGGCTGAAATATCTGTAAAGCTTAGTTTTTAACCACTTTGAATTGGGTCACATACTGGTAAAGGGCCAACTTTTAAAAGTGGCTTCACTGACCTATAAATTTGTGCATCCCAAATTTCAGGTAACAATTCCAGGCTGAACAATTTTTAATGACAAAGCTTAAATGTGCCCAAAAGTTTGGATTTGTATATATTGATAGTATTTGAACATGCAAAGAGGGTCTGGAAATGCTGAGTGTTAGGAATTGCAAAAATGTAGTTGTCCAATACTGAATAGTGCCGGGCCCAAAACTATTGTGTGCCATTGTGCATTCTGACAAACGTAGGTGTTGATCCTGCAATCACTTAGATTTATGTATGTGAATAATCCCATTCAACTAAATGACACTAAATCACATATTTAAAGTTGAGCATTTGTTGACATGTTTGTAGGATCAGGGTCCTTGTGACAGCTTTGGAAAACAAAGTATCTAAGTACATATATGCAGAACCAAAGTCCAAAAAGACAACTAAACAGGATTGTTTAGTGCAAAGCTAATACAGCACATGGAGTGTAAAACATCCCAACCCTGCACACTTAAAATAATTTCCAGTATTACTTTCAATCTATCAGATAAACACTAAAATGTCTCACAGTAGCTACCTTTTGTATAGCACTTCATCTGTTTACTCCTTAATATTTTTTAAGGCAGGGCTGAAATCATTGCTTTAACCCCACTTTTCAGGAAAGCAAGGGGTAGGGTGAATAAATGACAAATTTTAGTCTTAAAAAAACTGTGTATGGTATTTTGGGGGCCACATTGCTCTAACCCTTGCTCTTTCTTAGAAGTCCCGTATTCCGCTGCAAGTTGCTGCTGTCATCAATGTAACGTATAATAGAAACACCAGAAAGAGCAGCAGAGACCAACCAACCTGCTGCTGCTTTAAAGTGAGTAAATTTGTCTGATAGGAAGCACCAAAATGAGTGAAACTGGGTAACCTGTTTAAGTGTGTTAGAATGAGAAATTGGGGCACCTGTGAGAGTGACTGAGTGCAGTGACTACATCTGAGTGGCCATGTGAGCGATGAGCATAGGGGGTAGGGAGGGACAGAATGAAAGAATATGGAGGAAGGGAATGAAAAGGAGAAATCAGGCTGGGGAAAGACAGGCATTAAAAAGGGAGAAGAAAAGAATATTGCCTGCAATAGAAAGAAGGAAGAAAACAAAAAGCAAGAACCACCTTGTAAATTAATTTTAATTAAGAATATGTAATCTCAAAACATTGTCAAAGGCACAGTTGTATGAAAGCTACAAATATGCCATTTTTGGAGTGCCCCATAAAATTCTACTGTACTTCTCCTCAGCACACCAGAACTGTTTGTGTATGAAGCATTTTATTACACACGTCTTATGCACCAAACTAGCCCAGAGGGAGTGGGGTAGAGAAAAAGGAGGGCTTTTTGTAGGGCTAAAAACAAATAACCCAGAAGAAATTGTGCTATATACATAAAAATAAACCTTTATCCATTAATTTTCTCTCTAAGGCCAAAGTTATTTGATTTGCACTTGCTATAGTGTGTATTGTTTTGGGGTTCATTGAGAAAGACCACATTTTTGAACTAGGAAGTGGCTAGCATGCTGCTAGGCCACTTGCTGATGACTGGGACTAAAGCAGACCTCAGAGAGAGCAGCAGGGGAGAATTAAAAATTCAGTAATGTTGGACTGAATTAGTGCCTTGGTGCTTTGCCATTGCAGTTGTCCCAGTCACTGTGCAGTGGCATGTGTTCTCTCTAGTTTGTTACTCTAATAATACGAGCCTTACGTGTCACACTTTACAGTGAAGGACTATGAAGTATTGTATTTCTTCTAAGCTAGTTCTCAATTTTTTTTAAAGGCACTTGAGATGTGAATGGTTATAGTTGACATCTCTTCCTTGAGCTGCTGCTTGATAAATATCTGTACTTGGACACAACCTGCTATCTAAGGGTCCCACCATTACAGAATAAGAGCCTGGAGATGCAAAGACAAGTGAATGTGCTTGATCTGAAATCAAGGGGATATCTCTTAGTGCATTAAGTCAAATGCATGCATGTGACCTTGCATACTAATTTGGGCCTCAATCCTGTAACTCGACCTTTGCTAGGGTGTGTCCTTCAGTGAGAACTTAATGTCATGCAAAATGTCGTCACTATAGCTACAGATATGTGTATATAGCTATTTGACTAAAAGCAATCTTTTTTTATTCCAAAAGTGGCATTTCTCTTCACTCACTCTTTAGTTTGACCATTTTGTATTTATAATTTCTGCTCTCCCTTTTTCCTGCCATGTTGAGTTGATCTGTAAAGATTTTAGAGGGTGGGCTTTAATTATAATGTGTTTAAAATTGCACTTGTGATTTAAAGTGGAACCAGTGATACGTACCTCAGAACATTGTTACATTAATGAGCTGTGTTCAGTTTTACTTAACTCTCTAACTGTGAAGCTAAAGGAAATTACATAATGTACAGAAGACTGTATCACTCTGAGTTGTCTCTTAAGTTTAGTGGCCAAATTGTGCTATCAAATGCATGCGAAACATTCCTATTGGAGTAATTGAATGAAAGGCAGATTTTCGCCTGGAGGATTTTTGAGTAGAAATTGGGTCACATAATTGTACTGAACTGAGGTCTAAAGAACTCATGATCAGTTTTTTTATGTGTTCATTGTATAAGTAAATGGACTCCTCTTCTTTAAGGTGTTGATAAAAAGCATAAAAACTACCTGGCTCTAAAATCTTCACTGACATTCAGTACAGTTAGTTTTGTTTTCAGATCTTATTGTTTTGTAGCTCTTGGTCTGTTGTTAGATTTATTTACAGTTTTCATTATCTACCATAAAACTTAATGATGATAGTCCCTGTAATGCTGTACACTTGAACTATTTATCACATAGGGTTGGGCCACTTGGGATATCTATTCTGTTTCCCTGCATTTTTGTCTTTCATTCCTTGTAATGTCTTAATTACCACTAATGTGCACTGTGTGGGTGATGGACTAGACAATATAATAGGTCTTTTCCACCTCTAATTACAGAGAGAATGTCTTCTTTTAAATCAACTAAAGCCTAATTATTGCTTGTTTTATAGGCACATATTATTGTTACAGAAGCTGGTATATATTTATTGCTTTGATTTTTTAAAAATAGTTATCTGAATTGCAATTAACTTGCTATGAAATATTTTTGTGAAAACTACAAGGAAATGTGTAATATATTTCAAAGCTGAGGCCCAAAGGCTACTCATTAGTTGCCAATATGACCCATGCATGACCTGACTTCACAACTTTGTTATACTGCTTTAAGCCCTGATCCTGTTTCTACTGAAGTCAATGGCAAAACCCTCTTAGAACGCATCAGAAATGTTACTTCTATGGACATCTCCATAACAGATATGAAATATAATTTGTAATGCAAGAAGTCCAGCTTTCAAAGTCTCTTTAAATTCCTGTCCTTACTTACCAATATGTGGGTCAGACCTGTAACAAGAATAGAAGTTTTTTGATTTATAAAGTTGAAAAGGAGAAATAAATGAGACGCGCTGATGATTTTATTCTAAAAATGAAGAACCTAATTTTTGTGTGTAATATTCTCTAGCTTCAAAAGTCAACAGCTAATCAATGACCACTTAAAGGAATACAATTAAAAAAAAAAAGATACTGCTCTTGAGTACTCCTGGCACTTCTTGTGGTTTTACTATTGCATTTTCTTTTCACAAGGCAACAAGTGGTATTGTTAGAAAACACCCACACACCTATGGGCTGCTAAAGGCTTCATCTTCTGAAACTCTGAGGACCCTCAACTCCTGTTGAAAATATGCACCACCTTACGGGACTGGGATATCCTATATATATTGTGTACATTGAAAGTTATTGTATAGTTGCTAACTGTTCAGGGAAATAGTAAAACTTATCTAGGCATTGCCGTAACAATCTCTGGCCCACCTCCTACCCAAGTGAGGGATCTTCCCATAACCACATTTCAGGTGCGGTTTGGCGATGGGAATCATAACTCCCTTTTTCTCTCAACCAGATCTTAAACTCTTAATCACTTCTGATAAGCTTTGTCTGACTTCCGCTCCTGTCTGAGGTGCCTCATAAGTGACTGGTTTCAACT